AATCTATTAAATGGAGAGATGTCAGAGTGATTCCCTCAAGGCGTTCTTGACATATCGTGTTCACAAAAATGAAAGACTCAAGGTCACAGTAACCTTGACCTTTGACCTATGACCACCAAGCCTTTAAAGTTCATCCTTGAATAATATTTGTGGACAAGTGGACATTTGTGGCAAATTTAAACAAATGCCCTCAAGGCAATCTTGACATGTCACGTTCGCAAGAATGGGATGTACGTACATATGGATGTACAGATCGATAACTCCAAAAATATAATTCCTCCGGTCGTGGCCATCATCGGGACAGACACTTAAGGATATTGACAGACCAGGTTGGTTGCCTTCCAAATGGGGTTTGGGCTTCACTTACATAATGGTATCATGACACTTCATTAAGAGGTCACTAATGTCCGTCAACAATCAGGCAACATAACTCGTAACAAACCCAATCGCTCGTCTGCATTGGGCTGCAATTTAAGGTGGAGTTCTTACGCATGTTCCATTTCAGAGTTCCTTACTTTTGCAGAATCAAATTTCCAGACCTCTCGGTAGATTTTTCAGACTATATTTGACATCTGAGTACAACTTAGCCTGGTTCCAGACCACAGACCCCGCCCCCTCAACTGAGTAGGCTTGCATCTCTGGTCTGGCATACTTCAATGAATTTGCGATTTATCTTGTCCAAACGATGGACGGACCAATGAACGCCGGGGGTCTAGCGATTAGCCAATCAGCGCCAAGCTGATGTCAAGCTGTACGCCGGTGGGTAACTGGTTAGGATAGCAACAATGGCTACCGCTACATATCCTACAGACCACATTAACGATGCTATCGAGTTATTTCGCCACTACTCGCGTTAATGGAGGATCAAATTAAGGATGCTGCTAAACTGGATTTAATGGTGATGCAGCTGGGCGTGCACGACTACTGAGACATTTTAAACTGGCAATGCTCGCTTGTTTTCGGCACCCCCGAGGCATGGATACTAATGACGTCAGATTCTGGGTGAGTCGTTGATCTCTACTGATTGGTTAGGGAAAAAATCAAATTCCCTCCCCCTTGTAAATCGCCTTTAATGGAAGCCATGTCAAACTGAAGGTTCTGGGAGCTTCAGTCTGACACTCAGGCTAAGTACAACTAAGTGAGCTCTTGGAAAACTTGGATTTACCTATTGTGGCCACTCAGTCCTACGTAGAAAGTTGGACTCATCTCACTGTCAAACATCTCCGCCCAAAGAGAAACTAACTGGTGCCACATATACCCACATTAATTCCCCTTAACATACTGAATAAATAACTAAAGAGTCTGCCTTTAACCTTCAAAGTTGAAGTGGACTTACAACAATGACATGACATCATCAGAGAAAACAGCTTGTACTGGCACACTAACACAGACTTCATGTACTAGCAATGAGCCACTATCAAACATCTGAGAGTGCACATATTTGAGAGGTGCACTTTACCTTTACCTTCTATGCCACCACTTGTTCTCTGTGTCTGCGTGGTCTGAGGCAGATCATTGTCTGTCTCTTTCTCTCACACACACTCAGCTCTCTGCTATTTGCTTCATGAGTTAGTACCTGAAGGTGAAGTGTCTCGTGATAAACAGTTTTATACACGTTGTACTTTGCAGGTTTGTGCAGCTGTGGGGATTGCGTGTTGTCAGTGGAGGAGGCCTCACATACTAAATTGTACACCCATGCAAAATCCTTTCTCTGCTAATAACATGCAGCAGCTCTGCAGCTTAAGATGGAGGAACAGGAGGATGCATGGGGCAATAATGTTAAAGCTGAGAGATTGGGAAAAAGGAGGCCAGACTATGGAAAATAAAAATCTGATGAGCTGATTTCCTGAACGTACCCCCCCCCTCACACACATACACACACACATACACACATAAAACAGTTCCTCTCTCAGTCTACTTGAGCAAAAGCAGACAGCCAGAGGGGCAGACGGAGCCTTTGTTCATTAGACACAATAAATATTCATCTCCAGAGCTGCATCTCTTCTCTGTGGCTAATCATCTCCAGTAACAGATAACACTAACAATTATTCATATCACAAGCAAAGAAAGGACTGCAGAGTACACGCTTCAATTGCTATGTTATCCTATTGATTAAAAAGAATGCGATTGATATTATCAGGACGACAATTTGCAATCTCCTGTTGTCCATTAAGACTCATTTTCATGCATTGATTATGTAAACGACCCACTCTGCATTTCATAACTGATTGAAAATTAAATCTTAACTGATTAATTCTTTTCCTGGACTGTAGAAAGGTTGCAATGAGTGACACAGTCAAATCATAGGATGGGCTGATTTCTACTTCTCTGAACAACACACATGGGCTTTTCCTGAGAAGGACTAAATGCACATACCCGCTATTTTTAAATATCCCATCAAGGGAGACTCTCACTGCAGCCTGTGGCTCAGAGATAGAGCGGGTCCTCCATCAATCGGAAGATCAGTGGTTCAATCCCCAGCTCCTCCAGTCTGCATGTTAAAGGAAAATACGGACGCCCAAATTGCCCAAATCCATTGGTGTGTGAGTGTGTTAAAAATTAAGCAGTAGGTGGCACCTTGTATGGTAGCCTTGGCCACCAGTGTATGAATGTGTGTGAATGTGACTCGTAGTGAAAAAGCGCTTTGAGTGGTCGGATAAAGGTGCTATACAAACGCAAATCCATTTGTTCTGAAAACCTAGGGTCTAGGTATCATGTCTGAAGGAATACTTTTGGTTCCAAAGGTACCATACCGAAAGCATTTGGTAGATGCAGTCTAATGAAGGCCAGCTGACAGCTGTGGGTGATAGTTGTTTTCGCCAAATAATAGTTTTCATTCAAAAACATATGAAAAACTCATAAAATATAATGTGTTGTTGAAGTTCGCCCAGGGCGTAAAACTAGCCAGGACCGCCTCTGCGCCGAGCGGAGTGAATGTGTGATTAACTTAACCGTTCGTTGATTCATATGGAAATATAACGCTCCATATCTTCAACCAACAGGGCTCTCATTTTAGTGTAGAGCGTCAGACTGAATTTACCAACGCACCATGTCAGGTCACTCACTCTCCGGGACCGCCAATGTTACTTGAATAAGTAAACACTGACCAACGGGACCAGACTGGCCGACCCGTATGCTCTCACTCAGTGGATGGATGATGTCACAGGAAGCCAATCTTACAAAGGAGGACCACACTTGTTTGTTTTGCTATGGAAGCTAACGTTAGCTAATGTGCTAAAAAGTTAGCGTTCCAGAGAAATCCAATATTCCTCTTAATCCCTCCCCAGTTTCTGATGAGGTGGACATGATAACCCTTAATACACATAACCTTATTCATCCCTACAACAAATGACGCACAAGTATAAATTCACTTTTACTTGAGACTCTGCACAATGACTTGCTCCCATCGTCCTACATTTGTTTCAAGTGACTAGTGACATAGAAATAATAGTTAGCATGTTAGCCGTTAGCCTAGATACAGCCGGGGCGCATAGTAGCATCAGACCTGTTAAAACGTGAGTGAACGGGCAACCTTCAAGTCCAAAGTTAGTCCACTAAACAAGCTTTTTCTCCACGAAGACCGCCTCATATTGTTAGGGTAAATGTCAGAGAACATATAGAAAACGACATGTAAACGTGTTGTCTTACCTTACCGGTGTGCTGCCATGTTTGTTTACCATTTAGCTCTGCTTTCCAAAGCGCGGCCGAAATATCGCAAGAACAAGCAGCGATCTCATACCGTGCCTGAAATCTCGTGAGCTCTAGATAAAGCCCAGCTGGATACTACTCCAGGTGGAGGTGTCTCGTCCTCGGTCACATCCAGACCTTGAAAATAAGGCTGCAACCGGTCCCATTCCTTGCAACAGAGGCATTCCTCTTCTGTGGGCACTGGGGCACAGCATTCACAGGTACACCACCATTCTCCAGAGCTATGCAGCCTTGCAGCAGCCATTCCTCCTCTCTCGTCCTCTACCTGTTGCACCTCTCTCTCTCTCCTCCTCCTCTGTTCTTCAATTTCACGAAGCTCTTCGTCAGTGTATTCTGGCTCAAATAAATAAGGGCGTCCATCAAACTCTGCAAAATCAAATTCCTCCTCCACAAAGTCGAAGTCTGGCAAAAAGTCAGCCATTATTCTATAAATCTTTCATAAAATAAATGAATGAACTTTTCAGGCTACTGTCCGGTTCTGCCTTCCAGCTGTTGCTGCTTGTTCTCGCGATATTTCGGCCGCTCTTTGGAAAGCAGAGCTAAATGGTAATCAAACATGGCAGCACACCGGTAAGGTAAGACAACACGTTTACATGTCGTTTTCTATATGTTCTCTGACATTTATCCTAACGATATGAGGCGGTCTTTGTGGAAAAAAAGCTTGTTTAGTGGACTAACTTTGCACTTGAAGGTTGCCCGTTCACTTACGTTTTAACAGGTCTGACGCTACTATGCGCCCCGGCTGTATCTAGGCTAACGGCTAACATGCTAACTATTATTTTTATGTCACTAGTCACTTGAAACAAATTTAGGACGATAGGAGACAGGTTGAAATAAACCGAAATTTTTCCTTTAAGTACATCATCTAAATACATTTTCATACACTCTGAGCGAGAACACAAAAAGTGGCTGCGGTGTTTCTGAGTGTTCTCCCATTTTGGATTTGTTTCCAAGGTTCATCATATTTTTATATCATTTCTTTGCCTTCTTCTCTTCAGTTGAGCCACTCAGCTTGAAAGGCTGGAAGAGTATGAGCAGTAACCTTGTGCTTAAGAGCACAGTGAATAGATGTTGGAGAGCAGTGAGAGCAGCTCACATCCTGCTCAGAGAGGTGACTGATAAGAAGAAGATACACATACACACACAGAAGCGAACTGATGTGAAGAACAAGAAGGAAGTAAACAAGATCGGAAGACAAGAAAAGACTGACAGCCCATGATTGGTGGGTGAGGATGACCAGGCGGCCTGAGCAGACTGACCAACGGCAGAGGGAATTGTGGGATATATCTTACCAGGCTTTTGCACCCCATGAGCTTCCTGCTCTCCATTCTCCAACGTAGCACTCCCGTCTGCACACACACACACGCACACACACACACACACACAAACAAGCAAACACATTACTATCCATCTGAGTGCTAATGGCTTGACGAGATAGAAAATCAAAGTGCCTGGTGTTGGTTTGTACAGCGGAAATATGACAGACTGAGCCTGGCATTAAATGGAAACCAGTGACCCTGACTTTTAAGGCTTTCAAAGGGCACCTCGCTATAGGCAGCCGGTGTGTTGTCTGCCTGAGGATGTGCCAGTTAATACCACACAGACCTGTGCTGGTCAGACTGGGGCAGGAAGAGGGCAGCACGTATTGGCTGCTGTCAGCGTGATCCTGTGTGACATCTGACTGCTGAATCACTGCACTTTATTTATCTAATGTGCACATCAGATACAGACACACATGTACAGAACACACAAAGCGCAGGATCTGACACACAGGGACAATCAATCAAACATGTATAAAGCATCACAGACATGCACTAAGGCTGTAGCAGATCATGTGTTCGTGCTGAACTGTCTCAGTCCGGTGTAGAACACATGGTAGCAGATCTATGCACGCCATGTGAAACCAAATTTCACAGGCTTGAGATCTACCTAGAAACTTTAAGCTGTACGCCGTTAGCAACATGTGCTGAGGTTAGTTCAACAAGCTGATAGGTGTGTGAGTCAGTATCATTTAGAGCAAATGAAACACCAGAGATGGAGATCACACCCTGAGATCGTCTCTTGAGTACTCAAGATCGGTCTTGGTCTCAGGAATCGACCACATTTTTACGTGGTTCTGTCTCAGACAAAGAGGACTCGAGATTTTATTTTAAGACAGTACAAGATCACAACTGTGATAATGTCACTAAACTGCCGGTGCAAAAGAGTTTAATTAAGATGGTTACATTTCAGCTCCTTCGTGTTTGTATTTGTTTGCTAATAGAAAACAAAGGAACGTTCCTATGCATAACATTCACCTCTGCAAAATTTTTATCAAGACCTCTCTTACGGCACACTTGTACACACATGGATGGCAAATAAAGAGGAATTAAGAGGAATCTTCATTTGTACCGAAGAGTTGTGCCGATACCGATGCCAGTATCGGAAATGCCTCAGATACTGCCTAAAATGCGGTATCGGGCATCGGCGAGTACAGCCTATGACCAGTCTGATACCACGTAATGCCTCGCGTCATTACGCATACGCATGCTACAGGTAAATGAAACGGAAACGGAGCGGAGTTTAAAAAGCATTCTACTGTAGCCTTTAAAATGTCTTTTTTACCAAGTTGTGTGGCTGCACTTTAACCTATGTCTTGATCTGTGTCAACACTGGATAATAATAATAAAAAAAAAAAGTTTTATGGCATTCATTCAAAGGCCCGCTGGTCTCGTCTCAGTACACTCTGGTCTTGGTCATGACTTAGTCTTGGTTATTGTTCCTTTGACTGCAACACTGGGTCAGCTACAACAGAGTTATGTATAAGATGAGGACGGTGTGTCAGAATTGCTCCACAGTTGCAGGTGATGTGTACAGAAACGTGTCCAAAATGCTAACGCGCATTCAAAGGCATCGCCCGAATGTGCTGATCACTGGGATGATGAAAAAGCAACCCAACCCAAATTTTGTATTTTCAGCTTCATATCGTAAGAGGTGCCGTTCAGTTTTATAGCCTGGTGTGACCCGATGCCTTTGGGGAAAGTGTTCAGTGACCGCACATTGTAATACACACATGTTTTAAATGTTCCTTATTTCTATAATGCAAATAATTTACCAAAGTTGCAAGTGGGCAAAATGCTACCTCAGTCGCCAGCAGGAGGGTTTTGTCTGTTTTGACATGACTAAATGAAAAGGAATGTGTCCTTCTGCATTTTTTTTTTACGCTGTGCCGAACTGTGACTTCTGTGTACCTTTACACCCCTAACACGTACACTAATTTTGGTAAACGGACTGCTTTTATCTGAGCAACAGGCTCTGATTCACCCATACGCTCACTGTTCACATTGATCCTGTAGGAATAATGATCCAGTTCTTCAGGTTTGCTGACTGGTGGGTAGTTGCTAATCTGCTCTGGAGCAGGATAGCTATGCAAGTATGTTAGCATCGTGGTCTAAGCAGGTTAAAAGTGAGCCAGCGTTGCACAAACAGACCACAGGACTCATTACTGCTCTCTTTCACACACACAAACAAAAATGCATGCAAGTACATAGAGCCACAAAGCTGCACAACAACAACAACAACCACTCTGCAGTCAGTACATGCGCCCGCAGATATATAGTAAACAGAAATTAACGGATTAATATATAAGCATGCAGAAACCCCAAACCACATGCAGTACACACACACACACACACACACACACACACACACGAGGTATGAGTCATTTGTGCCCACAGAAACACACAGAACACAAACACCACGGATCAAAAACAAGAGTACAGGACACTCATCAAACACACCGCGGTCATGAGAGCACATTACGTGTGCATCGTGGCACCAAACCAACAACGCTGGTAAAAAAAAAACAAAAAAAAAACAAAACAACAAAAACAAATCTTCTTCCGTCTAGCTCTCCTGCTGACAGAGGACAATGATTTGCGGACTGCCTCGCCCTGCTGTTTGGCACTTGGCGTGTCAGCATGTCTGTGTTTGTCCAAATGCACACAGCGTGCCACAGTTGATCACTGGCAACACCACCCACGGCCCGTCCTACAGCTCCCTGTCACTGACGAGTGCCCACACACAGTGTGACTGTCTGACCGAAGTGTCTGGGTAACCAAAACAGGGCCGAGAGCTGAGTCAGCCCCGGTTAACTGTCACTTCCTTTTATCTGGTTCTTCACTCAGATGTTTATTTCATCCATCTATTTGCTTGCTTACCTTCCTATACACCTGTCTGTGTGTTTCTCTGTCTGTCTAACCAGCTGTGCAGCTTAATAACAGATATATTGACTCTCACACTACAAAAAGTCAATTTTGAATAAGTGGTGCTCAAATAATCATCAGCCACTGGTAGCTCTTGACCTCTTCTATCTCCAGGAAAAATATGCAGACTGTATTTAATTGAGCTTTCGGTGGAGGAGTGTTATCGTATTTCAATCCATCTATCTGTTCATATCACAGATGTATTTCTCTTACAGGTGTACATCGAGTCTCTCCTGAGGTCATTTAGCAATACAGCAAAAGCAAGTGTTGCTTTGTGTGGAAGATGAGTCTGTTCACGAGACGCAGTTGGTGACTATTTACAATCTGTCTGTGCAGAATTCAATAACAGAAACCTTTGTTTAACTAGTTTGGTGCCTTGTGACTCTATTCTGCTTCACTGTCTATTAGCTGGATGTCACAAAACCAAATCTAAAACTTAGTCAACCTAAAGTTCAAACAGAAATTCTATAATAACATATTCCACATCAATGCGATCAATAACCCTACCATGACTCTTAGAAAGGTCTGTTGGATTTACACAGAAAAATAACTCTTAGAGCAAATTCCTGACGAGAGTGTTAAGCTGAAAACATCGGTGTGGTTCGTCACTTCACGAGGCAGCACACATCGGACACGTTGCGCTTCAGCTCGTCAACAGACGACCACACAAAGTTACAGTTACTGATCTGTACCTCTTCCATCTCTGCATTAGCTTCAAGTCATGTGAGGACACCCACTAACTGAAATCAATTTCTCACCTGCCAATTTTCCGATCTCCAGAGCTATGACTCGCCAGGAAGTACCTTTTTGGCCACTGTCTTTATAATGAGGGGATTGCGAGCTTGTTTAACTCAGGTTATTTCTCAACCTCAACAAGTCTCTCCTCACCGTTATTCGTCACACACAAGACACAACAACAGCAACAGAGTTCCCTTTGCATCCATGGTGAGGAGAGGAGTCGAGCTGCTGTCGGAGCAGAGAATAGAGCTGCTATGGGTAGTGATGGCCAAATGAAGCCTCATGAAGCATTTTCTTTATTTTATGAGCCCACTAGATGGTGCTTTTTGTTCAAGAAAAGATTGAAAGATTCACTGAATAGCCTCTCTCTTTAAACCATAAGCACCATCTAGTGGGCTCAGAAAATAAAGGAAATGCTTCATGAGGCTTCATTTGGCCATCACGGGAGCTGGTACGTACAAGCAGAAAGCGAGTAGGGGATAAAGGTATTTAATTCCAGGGGGCAAGGCTGGAAACAGGACAATGGTGTGAAAAGCCAGGAGGTGGCACGTCCAGGAGCGCCAACGTGTGAGACGCTGCCGGTATGGGGCTGTACATTGTTTTGGCCTTAACCCTAGACAGTGTATACATCTATATACAGTATAAAACCATTAAAGTTCAACTGCACATTTTCTAAACACAGATTTAATGCGTAGCAGAATAAAGAGCCACATCCAATGCCCATGACCTGGACATTTTGGCTAAGCACCCTGGTCAAGGACACATTCTTCTTTACACGAAGGGCCTTGAACTCTTGCGCTGGGCAGGGTTATCATCATGCTTGTAGATACTGGAAGTAAACCATGAGCATCTTCACTGGATCAAGTGGGGAATTTGGACAGTAACCGCTCAGAAATTGCACCAGTCGTCTGGGATATTCAAAGCAGTGACCGCAGCTCTGCTTATCTTCAGGCTACTATCTTCCCGAGGCTGAATGGCACTGCGGCAGATCCAAAATGGCAGCCAGTGTCCAGCGGTGCCTGATACTATCAGTCATTTAAGAGCAGCTGCAGCTCATGTTACACAACGCAGATTTTCATCTTGCTCAGAAGAGATGGAATCGGATACGGAGGTGAACATAATGTTGTTCAGGAACATTTGAGTCCGAAGACCTGCTGTGTTTGGTGTTATGAATGGAGATAAACTCAGGTTTGAGTTACGCAGAAGGTGGAGTTTCTTTCATTTTGAAGCTAATTTTACATCTATTCATCATTTAAAATTGCTGTGCTGGACCAGACTTCCTAAACAAGAACTAATTTTTCTCATCTCTTAATTGTTTTCCTGCCGCTGTTTCTGATTTTCACCTGTCTGCCGCTATTTCTCTCCTGAACTTTCATTACCATCCTATCAATTCCTCTATTTCAGGTCACCTCTGCCTCTTTTTCCCGGTGTCACTGTTACAAGTCCACACAGAAGAGAGGGGAAGGAAGTGACTGGTTATAGACAGCAGGTTTACTCCCTCTCTGTCTGGTATACCGTCAGAAATATCCATATTTTCTGCCAATAAAATTAACTGCTTCTCATAATCTGTGGTAACAGAAGAACCCCGTCCTCTCAACACTGAACTGGTATCATCTTGCATAGTCAGCACTCGCCAGCATCCTCACTCTCTTATTACCATACGTAGTCATGATTAATAATGTCTTCACTACCCATACTCCACTGGCCTCCATCACGTCTCACCTGCCCTGGTGTCGTCGTTGTCCAGCAGGGGCACGTAGTCTGTCTTTCCAACCGTCTCCCCGACCTGATCGTCGAAAGCCTCCGCCTCCAACTGAGCCACAAAGTCCTTCTCCACCAGGCTCTCCGGGCCCTGCTGGGGAACGCTGTCCGTCAGCGCGTCGCTCAGACTCAGGTCTAACTCCGCCATGGCTGCACACAAACACAGACACAGGAATAAATGAAAGAAGAGTGAATATATCATCACCTGTTGAATGATGCTGCCCAGCTCTAAACAAATCTATAATAACTCTCAACATGGGAGAAGAAAATAAAGAACAATTTATATGATTTGGAGTTGTTCAGCAACAAAATCACACATGCAAACTTTCACCCTGAATCACAGTGGCATCGGAGTGGATCATAGAGTTAGTGATGGCCAAATGAAGCCTCATGAAGTATTTTTTTTTATTTTCTGAGCCCACTAGATGGCGCTTTTTGTTCAACAAAAGGTTGAAAGCACACTGAATTGCCATTCTTTGAGCCTCTCTCTTTAAACCATGAGCGCCATCTAGTGGGCTCAGAAAATAAAGGAAATGCTTCATGAGGCTTCATTTGACCATCACTACATAGAGTGCATAAGATTGCATTAAAGACACAATTAAATGTTCAAGAACAATGCTCCTGTCCACCAGTGTGAGTTAATGAGGCAATTGAGCCAGTCGTTTGTGATCAAGAGAAATGAGAATTCAGAAGGTGTATAGTTGTATTTCTCTACCTAATACGGAAAAGAGATGTGAGAAGATTACTTTTCTTAACATTTGTGAGTTTGTGTTGTGTAACTTCTAAGTTGAAAACCTAAGAGCGCTTGCCAGTCAGGGTGGAGGTTGGGTTGGGTGTAGTGCTGAACACTCATACTGTCATATACTGTATACACCGATGAAATTTCAGGAAGATATGAAGGTATGAAAATTTACAAACTGCCCAGGCCTAGTCTGAACTATATGCTGAAACATAGCCATGGAAAAAATAATACTGAAACAATGGTAATATGTAACCTAGAATACATCTAAATCCCCGTTTCCACCAAACACTTTAGGTACAGTACCTTTGGAACTAACAGTAACCCTTCAGACATGGTACCTAGACCCTCAGTCTGTCAAGTGTTTCCACCACAGACAGTCCTCTTTCATGTGGTGGGGTTGTTGTCACTCACTGTATGTCGTCCTTTATCAATCTGCACCTTATTTATCGTCACCAGAACGAGGCTGCATGCCCACATTTCCCAGAGCAAGAGTGACCGTCCGCTACTGACCAATCAACGGACTGCAGAGTTCACAGCTCCACCTTTTAGTATCAGATCTGTGTGCTAGGTACCCCAACAGAGGGGCGACCAAACATGGGGACAGAATGGAACGGTTCCACCGGTACCATTCAAAACTTTTCACCAAGGAAACGACAAAAAGCAGACTGAACTGAATTGAACTGAACCGTACTGTTCAGTGGAAACAGGGCTTAAAACAACCTTCACTTTTCAACCAAATATAGCTAGTGATGGCCAAATGAAGCCCCATGAAGCATTTTATTTTTTTCTGAGCCCAACAAAAGGTTGAAAGCACAATGAATTGCCATTCAGGAGCCTCTCTGTTTAAACCATGAGAGCCATCTAGTGGGCTCAGAAAATAAAGAAAATGTTTCATGAGGCTTCATTTGGCCATCACTAGATATAGCCCGCTTCAAACCTTAACCTCAGACACTGTTTTGACTTCCAAATAGCCTATATCATGCTTCTTGATGTCTGGTTCCCATTTCAAAAGCATGAAAAGTTTGACAGTTTTGAGATGCAGAATGTTTACCCTACTTTGTCAAAGTTGACAGAAGGGGAAGGAGACAGAGACCGAAGCTGAAATGGAGAGATAAGGATGAAAGAAACAGAAGTAAAGCTGAGTGAAGGAGGAAAAAAATGAGTGAGAGAGGAGGAGAGATGGAAATGAAGATGAGAAATGGATACAGGAAGTGAAAAGGCAAAACCAATTTTAACCCAAGCCCTATAAAATGACAACAGGATATCAAAATTACAGCCGGTTGCATCACAGTGCTGACAGGAAGTCTTAAATCTGACAAGCACGAAAACCAAAATGACTAAATCTGATGTGAACTGAACTGAACTGGCATCAAACTCGCCTCTGGAGCTGTAAAACCAAAGGAGCTGGATCCAAACCCTGTGATGGCAGACATCCATCCTGCTTTAGTGCCCCTGAGCAGCACACTCAATGTTAACCAGCTGCAAGGCCTGATCTTGATCTCTGACCTCTCTGGAGGGAACCTAGACACCATCACTGATTATAACCTACATGTAATGCCGCTTTCGACCACAAGGAGGCAGGGTTTCATCTGTGGGAAAGAAATGCATGACTTGGTTCAACACAGAAGCACAATCTGTACCTAAACATGGACCCAGGCACGCAAACAGATCCAAGCAGTCATCAGCTCATCTGGGAGTTCAGCTGACCAATGGCCACCAGGGGAATCTGCCGAGTCATGTTGTGTCATCTTCCAACTATAATGCCAGATTATCTTCAGTGCCAGCAGCGGCCAGCCTCCCTCTGCTCGCCGTGTTTATCTGTCTCATCTCCATCTTTACAATTCTCCTTTTAATCATCTACAGCACACTTTGCATCAACACGCCAACTCTGCTTTCCTTGTATTGTTGAAGCAACAGGTTAGGGGTTCAAGGACTTGCTCAAGGACGATGCAAGAGAAGTTACTTACTGCAAAATGAATCCTGAGACCTTGGAGTTGTTTTCTTCCTGACTGGCTGCTCTGCCAAACACTCAGATCAACACATAAACAGCCCCTCCTTTCCTTAACTGCAGCAGTATACATGAACCTGTCTGATGTCAGTATATTACACACATTCATTAAAGCTATTAGTGTCTGCAAACATTACAAGAGATGTTTTTAAGTTTGGGGATCTTTTTTTCTGAGCTCAGTCAGCTTCCTCAAACAGATGCAGACCAAAAGTAACTCCACAGCCCCATCTGCTGGATTATTTATTCATTACCACAAAGAGAACAGATAAAGGTACACTGCATTATATGTGTAATTATAGCCAGAGGCTGTCTGTTATGGTTTCTGCATGGACTCTTAGTTTAAGTTTCATAGGAATCTGGATTCTGAAGGAATGAAGTTGCATTTTGGACAGCAGTGTGCTCGGGAAAGACCCGTCACGCCCCAGTGCACAGAGCTAGATCCATAATGGTTTTATCAGTTTGGTGTGGACAAACTTGACTGGCCTACACAGAGCCCAGGCCTCAACCTAGTCCACCTGAACTGGTCTCCCTGCCTGGGCCCTAACTACCCAATGTTGTTGCACCGTGTCTTGTTGCACCACGTCTGCGTAACACTTCCAAAGTCAAATGGTTTCAGAAATGGAGCATTTTACAGACCTGTACACATGCAGCATTTCATGCACCCGTAAATTCATTGTTTTCTATGTAGATGTGCAGAAGGCATGCTTAAAAGCAAAAGCCCCCAGCACCCTGAGCTAAACAAAGTTGAAGTTTTAGAACGCAGCCATATGCACTGCATGCAATGTGACAAGGTACAACCAATCACTGCCAACTGATACCTTCTTTTTCTTCTGTAAATGTCAGGGAAGGTTGATCATTTAAGTGCTTTCCATCTGTCCCATGGACAACATTTTAAACCTAATACACACTTAAAAACTTGGAAGAAGGTCAGCTCAGAAAACAGTCAAAATTTCGCACAATTTATTGGTAAGTATTTGGAAGATTGTCCCAAAAAGCTCATCCCTACTTCAGACGCAACCTGCCTCCTGGCACCTGAGAGTTGGTACAAGAGTAGCACCCAACGCCCAACGTCGTGTTTTCCAGGCGGTTAAAGATGCGGCATGTGTCCCAGCCCTACAGCAGCCTGCTTCAGCAGCCACCTTTCTAGTATAGTTTCTCAAATTTTGTTGTTCATGCGTTTTTTGTGTGTGTGAAAACATGTTTGCAGCCTATTCATCATCAGTGTGGAGACAGATTTCATTACCATACACAGGACAACTCATCACTACTTCTTGTACGGTGTATATAAGCATAAGTGAAACTGTAGAATTTCTTGTCCTTCACAGACTGTTGAAAAGAGACATCAACAATCCAGAAAAACTAGTTTTGCTCCTTGAATATTCAAGGCAAAGTCAATAACTAATGAAGGAATCATCAAATATTAAGTTCACGTCAACATGTCAAAAAATGCAGGAACTCATAAAAAAATAGTTTCAGGTTCCAGAGAGACATGAGCTACTCTGTCACACGGACAGCCAGTCAGTAATTTAATCAGTCAGCGAATCAAACGTAAAATCCTAACAAAGGCTGACAAACTCCACATATAGTGAACAATAGGTGGTTTCTGAGGCAAGAAGCCAAGGACATAAATAAACTATACATGGGTGTACTCATTACACGCCTGACTGCCAGTGTATCAGCAGTTTAAATGAGCCCCCGGTGCTGAGACCAGGGCGTGTCGCAGGAAGACGGCTGCCTACTGCCTCGACCACAAAGCCATGCTGGTCAGAAACACTGCCCCACTTTCCATATTTAACCCCACATCATCTGTGTGTGTGTGTGTTTGGTATACAATATGTCATCTGTACCAGCTGCAGAGTCAGCTGGGTGACCCATGCCACCCAGTCTACCAACTGATACGATTTAAACGCAGGATGAGACCCATCGCAGACATTTGAAAACTAAGCTAGAGGAGCTTGTTAGTTCCCTTAAGCTTCTATTTACACAGTGGGTCCCCACATGACCACAGGAGTAGAACCTTTTCATTAGCCTGGGTCCTACATTTGGATCCCAGGATGAGAAAGTCAGAAACTCATAGGCTTTTTGACCCCAGCGAGGTGCCGTAGTACAAGCCCAGCTCCTGTTTTTCACCTCCAGTTTGGTGTGGCCACTCGGAAATAATCTGGATTCAACAAAGGAAGGAAATCCATGGAAGAGGCGGTTTCTATTGTGTTGTGTGCTATTATATGCTTGGGTGTGTGAATGTGTGCGTGTTAGTCATGTGTATTTGTGTGTGTGTTCCAGACTAACTTTTTCCACTTGTAGCACTGGTGCTCCCTGCTGAAAATTCTAGGAGCAGCACTTGAAATGACATGCAACGCAACACATTAATAGTTTTCCATCTTAATAAATGACAATTTA